GAAAGATAAAAGTACTCATGCTATGTTTTGGGTTTTTTTTCCTAACTGCTCTCTTTACGTAACAAAACAACGCAGGATCAAGAGTCTTCAACTAACTTGGGCTCCTATATCATATAAATTAACAAGAAAATTAACTTGTCACCCCTTCTTAAAATGGCTGAGAGAAGTGACACCTAAAATATTACCTACAGGGGTAGGGAAGTAATAATTTAAGTAAAGATGCAACTGGAATACAGATTGCACATTGCAGAGGAATGCAGCTTCATCAATAATAACTGGGTTGTCATTCAAAGAGAAATGCATCTTCCTAGCTCCGTATGCACTTTGTACAGATTTACTCTCATGTCAGACCTGTGTTTCTACTTGAAAGACAAAGCGAGAAAAATGGCATGGGGGCAATGTGGGCTTTATTGTATTTTTCCTGAGACTTAGAACAGAAAACAGCCACGTTATTCAAGGGAGAGTGGTGACACCACAGAGTGGATATAAGAGGGTTACAATGCTTTAAATGCTTGTTCATACTTTAATGAGAGTGGATTTTTTTTTTTCATTTAGGTAAGTAGTTCCCACACTGTGGTCCAGAAAGTAATAGTAAGTCTAGAGCTAATGTGTGGAACTAACACTGTGTTTACAATACTGTTTCCCTCCCACAAAAAGAAGGGATGTTGTGGAGAGAGCAAGAGTCACACTGTTTCACTGAGAAAATGTGTAAACCAGACACCAGATAGCTTTTTTTTTTCTTCGCAAGACTAATTGGATTTTCTGAAAGTCTGGTTCTTTGGAAGCCTGTTACATTCCCTGTGCATTATGAAGAAGAATTTCTGCAACCCATCCCTGAATGTGAAAGAGCATGTTCATTTGCTACCCATAATCCTATTGAATATTCAGCACCAACACCATTAAGAAGCACTCATTTCCCAGGCTGCTATAAGACCTAAGGCTGAAGCAGTTTCCTGTATCCTACCAAAAAAAATCCTTATGTTCCATTCCCTGAAGATGCTCCCAGGTTTCGTCTTACCTAGACAGGCTGCTCACGGGAACAGAATAGGCTCGGGCTGTAGCCCAAGTGCCTGAGGCAGCAAACTGCTGTGGGTGGCAAACCAAACTATTTTACTTATGCCTACGTCTTGGAAAGCCAGGCTGGCTGCTACTGCAGCTGTGCAAGAGGTCAGGACAAGGGGGGCAGGGTCTGTGCTGGCAGAAGGGAATCCTCTCAGCAGAAGCAAACACCACACTCAGCTCTTCCCAAAAAAGAGGATCTGATCTCTCCCCAAGTCCAACCGTGGCCCATCTGCCCCAAGTTAGTATAATTTAACACTATTTATTCTTCTGAGAAGCTGGTTTGCCCTTTAGCTTACTACAAATGAAGTGCAAGTGATAAGGATAGCCTAATTTTCTTTTTCTATTTCTTTGTTTTGTTAGTGATTAAAGAAAACTCGATTCAAAGACAGACATTCAGCATATTTAAGTGATATCCTCAGAGTAGAAAGATTCAGTTTGAAAACATCTGAGCCTTTTGTAAAGATGGCAAAGTAGTTCTTCAACAAATACTTTCAAGACAAATGTAGACTGGGGTACTGATCCTGTGAAAGCAATTTTTATTTGGACATCTCAAAGTAATTTCTTATCTCTGCTTCTAAGAACTGTGTTTATTTGCTACATGTGATGTCAGACAAACCTATAGCAAGATGCAGTTAACAAGAACTGGGGTGTGCATCTGTGTATGTTGGGGTTTGGGGGGGGGTTAAGGGTAATTTAATGGGAATTTTTTATATTGGCACTCATGTATCATGGTTTTAAAAAAAAAAAAAAAAAGATAAATATACTGCCAAAATGGTAGAAATTAAACTTTATTCAACAAATTAATAGCTAGGTAAAACTGGTTTCACGCATGCTTCCAGCAACAAATGCTGCATTAAGAAGTACCTGTCCTTAGTAAGGTCAGGTGTATGTATAGCAATATAAAAGAGTGGTAGAGTGAACTGTTAAAAATCAGCAGCAACATACATCTCCTCTTTCCACATAAGGGAAAACTATGGCAATTGAAATACCATTACAGCGATTTCTAATTATTTCTGTTTCAAGTTAGCATATGGGAATAGATATTTGCTAGCTAAAGAAAATACGTTCTAACATATTTGAAAATGCTTGTATTTATTTTGGTGCTAATAAAGCTTATAGCAGTAGTAATGGATGTGGTCATCCTTGCTCCCATTCATTTGAGGATAATACTTGACACTAAAAGATAAAGAATAGAAATTTCTGGAAGGAATATATAGTCACATCTTCAGACCTACGTTGAAGTTAAAAAAAAATCAGGCATATGTATACACATACAAGCTGAAACAATAGCCTATATTTTAAAACATTGCCTGTCAATCACCTGCTCTACTTTGCCAATACGGAAACTTATGGTTATATGTTGATAATGGCTGTTTGAAAAAACACATATTGCAATGTTTGTCATTATATTTTTCTTGTTTCTATTTTATCATTTAATAAACAAAAGAAAGCTATCATTACTAGTGAACATGCAAAGGAGTATTTACCTTGTAAGACTGGTCGAGAAAGTGTAATTTCAGATACTTTTGTCTGATACTACAACAGACACTTGGTAATTACACAGAAAAAACTACAGGAGAAGCCTGGTATATCTCTCAGACTCACAGAAATGAAAGTAACAGCCCAAATGATTGAATTCTTATGATGAGTTCCAAAGCACAGCTAAATGCTCTGATAGCTCTTGACCATTTTTGGAATGTGCATAGCAACGCTTTAAGACATCTTTTTTCTATGGACCTGACCAAAAGACTGTATTCAAGAGAAACTTTTCCAGGAAATTCAGTGAGTTTTTGATGAGGCCCTCAGGTAATTTTGCTGTGTCAGTATATTGAAATCACACAGTATCAGATCTTACAACAATATCAGACAATTCAGAAAGCTGTTTGTAACTATGAATTCAGGAGCATAACTGTATTACTTGTTTAGGATTAAGCAGCTGTCCGTCTCCTTGACAATCTTTACTTTATACTCCGAGCTATACTTGGAACAGTGGCACTTTTGTGCCTTTCAGTGTTTAGGCAAATAAACTGTTAACTTCATTATACAAACTAGAAAAACATTAAGAACACATAAATTCACAAAAGTTAAGAAACAAATTAGGATTGACTATGTCATATTACATAAAAATACACGGAACTATTACATCCTACCTATCTCAAGTTTATTCTCTAGTTCTGGCCTTTCCAGGAAAGAACAATAACTAGCTTACTAATATGAATAACTGGAAAAAAGATTATATTTAGTTATTCTCTGAAACCTTGGATGTATTTTTCAATTTATAGGCAAAATAAAGCACAAAGTGGTTCCAGGAATAATAATAATAATAAGGCTAATTAGAAATTATATTGAAGCTTACTCTGAAGAACAAAATATGAAATTATACTTGGCTATTTTGAATAATTGAGCATTGTTCATAAAATCTGAACATCATCTGGGTGGCATAAAAACTTTTTCATCAATTAAATTATAACAAATCTGACATTAGGTAACAGATGGGTGTATAGCAATCTGCATTTAGATCAGTGTCACAGTGATGGAAAGGTTAATAGTAGGATTAATTACAGACAGTACATCTGGGCAATATATTTGAATCTTTAGTTTTAAGTCTAGAACTTGCACAGCTTTCATATGGGTCATTAGATGGACCCACAATAAAGTGCTCATTTAGAAAACTGCATCACAGTTCACAAATAAGGGTCTTCAATGCTAAATGATAAGAAATAATTTGTGCCATTCCACAGAGTAACCAAATGATATTTAGATAATCTAAGAATCAAGAGTGGAGAACAGGTATATAAAAGAAGCAGTCATGAAGAATAATTCCTGTAGAATGTAGGTACCTAGGTAGGTAAAATGCAAAGAACTCATGTGAATAATACAATGGGGTGAAGTTCAGCATGACAAGATCAAATTCATTTTGTCCTGGTATGCATAAAAAGACCTGACATTGACACACTTAGAAGTGTGTTTTCAGAGCTATGTTTTCTACTTCCTGTAACGTCTTGAACTACCACACTGAATGTTAAGCATGATTCAGTGCTGAGATGAAACTCTTCTGATGTGTTTTCAGTAAAAAAAGAGAGAAGTATTTAAAAAAAGATGCAAGATTGCTGCCCTCTCCAGCCATAAGCAAGACTCAGTATAGGTGGATGTCACTTTAACAAGAGAGGAAGCTTTAGCAGTGTAGTTCCATAACACAAGTGGCTTATTTTAACAGGCCTTTCTCTCTACAAGAAACACAGGACTTTTCAACTATCTTATTTCATAATTTTACATGGCGTAAGCAATCTTACCTTATCCTTCCAAGAAGTGTGATGGAGTAATGCTTGCGCAGAGCAACTGCATTTGGATGGCAAGCAATAAACTAAACTTTAAGCTGCAGATTCATACTGTAATCTCCCTTCAAATAAAACTTTCACTGAAATCACTGTAATTTTTTTTCTCAAAAATGCCAGCAGGATGTAATTAATTTGAAAACTTTTACAGCACTTTCTTGAATGAATTATTTTGACACACATTTTTTTGAATGCTAATTTTTTTTTATTCACATAATATTACACTCATTTTCATTTGGTTTGAGATTTTATTTCAACTTTAGCGTTAGTTTGACTTAAGAATGCAACCTCTCCCTCGGGAATTTTTGGTAACAGAATGATAGTTCAATCTAAAGCAACTGAAGTATTTTACTTAAAATAATTACTAAACTTTATTAACAGTATACTTTCAGTGATTTCTGTATTTTTCCATTAAGTTTATTCTACCAAGTTGACTAGCAGTTTCTTTTTTTTTCCTATTGAGTCACATAAGACTTCTTTGAAATGCATAAGAATAATTAATAAATTATAATAATGGCATGCACTGTACTAGGAAAAGATCATTATAGTACATTGTTATGCACTGCATCCTATCTCTGCTGTTTTGTTACTTTCATTCCTTACCTCTTTGTTGGCTCTGTCTGCTTGAACTAATGTTCCATTCAGACACGGCTCTACATAGTGAAGTTCTTCATTATACTAGAGAGAGAAATAAAAAGTATGATGAAAAATTTAATTAAAAGCTTTGAAAGATACAATTTAATGATTTAGAACTACAGTGAAACTTGCAAATAAAGCAAGAACAAAAGGATTTAGCTCATTTTTAAAAACTGGCTGTGGTGTTTGTTTTTTTTTCCTTTTCATGATTCTTACTGTTTCAGAGGTTTATACTTTTAAAATGGAGCATTTAATTGAATGGATGCCAACACTCAGGTGGAGTTCATGGGTACTATATACACTAGCTGGCATAAATATCCTTCAAGTTGAAATCTGGATAGTATTAAAAGGTCATGTTTGATACATCACAGTCACAACTCCCAATTCTTTGCTACATATTAAAAAAAAGAGGCCTGACAAATATTTGAGGCACTGGCTAACATTTTGGAAGGTTAACAATGGAACAACTATGCCAAAAAGTCTGAATCAATCCTGTACATGTCTGGCTATAGTCAGAAGTTCAGTTAGACAGAGTAGCTTATTATACACTAAGTCATGAAGCTGTGACAGATCTTTAAGGAATTATCTGCTTATCTTGCAAGGTCTAAGTAAGTTAGATAGCCCAGTCTTATTTTCAGAACCATCTTAAGCATTAAAAGAAACGCAGTCTCATCTGCAGTCAGTAGATCTTGCAGTCTCATGGATGCTTAAGTCACTTGATTGAAAATTGGACTTGATTGCTTAAATCTTTTAAACCTTTCAACACAGGTCAAATTGATACGGAAGTACCTTCAAAAAGCCTACATTAGTTGTATATATAGTGTTTTAAGTTAATCTACTCTAGAGGTTATCACAGATGAAATTATAAAGCCTTTGCATGTAGGCTTTAAGCAGTTTCGCCAGTTCATAGGCATTAAGTGAATCAGAATACCCATAGTAAACAACGAAACACGACATGTTAAATCAAGTCAAAAATAATCAGGAAAAACATTTCATTAGATTAATATATGCATTTACTCCTTACTTCCTCCACCTCAGTGGGATTAAAAAAAGCTTTACAATGACTCATTACAGAATGCTGCTCAGGCAAGGTTCTCTGTCACTGCAAGTTCTCACTGTGTCTGCCTTGTAGCTGTGAATTTGTTCTACTCTCTTCAATTTAACATCACTCCTTTCTCTACACATATGTCTAACCACAGACCCTGCAACCTGTTCCACTTTGGACACCTGCCATCATCATTCATTTTAACACTGCACTACTCATCACACTTATAATTACATAATTACTGTTGCATAGGGAAAAGTGTTTAAATTGAACTGCATCTAGTTAATTCTTGAGGCATTGTGCTAGACTCAGTCCTCAGCTATAAAAAAATACAAATGCAGAGTAACTCCACTTACTATTGCTGGTTAAAAAAACTATTTACATCAGCATCAACATAGTAATTGATTGGCATATAGAAACAAACAGAAACGCTTGAAAGATATTTACACATAATTTCTGCGGCACATGTGCACGCTTCCCTAATTATTTACTCCCATCAATGTTATTCCAATATATGAGAGCCTCCAGACATGTCTATTGCTCCAAAGGTCATATGAAAAACAAGGCAAAGACTTCTAGAACATTTTAGAGTCACTCGATTGTCCCGAGTGCATCTCAGTAACAGTTTATTGATCTGAGAAATTACGTGCTTTTCCCTGTAGTTTCTCTCTTCAGACTGCTTTCCAATTTATCTCCTGACAGTCATTGCAAAATAATAATGCCAAATCTACGCAGCATCTCTTATTATAGGGCAAAGTCAGGACAATATTCCATTCTACTTTAAAAAAAAAAAAAAAAATAGTGAAAATCTGTAACAGACACTGGTACACCAGCCCCTAATCCCAAGCTTCTTCCTGTCTTCATACAGTTTGGGTTTTTTTCAGATTGTACTTTAATCAATATACTTTCCAATTAAGCCTGTTCTTCGCTTGATTTCTGTAGCTGTCATTGGAAACTATATTAACACACACCTTTTTCTTTATATGATACCAAGCACAGTTCTGTAATTGACCAATACCCAATAAAATACTAAAGTCTACCTGTCTCTCAATTATAGTCTCAGTTTCAAGCATCTGCGTGCAAGCAAACTCAAAATTTCCTAATGCTGTAGGAGTACCTTTTTTTTTTTTTCAGGCCTATCACCACCAGCAAATAGATGAAACTACTGCCTACTTCATCAGACCTTGCATCTAAGTAGCATAATTTCAGTCTATATTAGATTTCTGTATATTATTTCTCTATATTTCTACATATCTGTTATTTTAACTACTATTTTGTGTAAGTCATATCATCAGACTATTCCCACAGACATGTAGCTTGCATGTCTGCTAGCTGCACAATAACCCAGATAGATTCCCACCAGCTTCCTACTATGCCTTTAGTGTTAATCAGTTGCATAGTATAAAAGATGTCCTCACTGTCACAGCAGACATGCTTTAAGTCCCCTAGCAGCCCCATTTTACAGAATCAACCTACTTAAAAAAAAGGATGAATAAAAGTGTTCATTCTCACATAAACAGCACAATTACATAGACGGTGAGTGGACAATGCACTTTCATTGTCACTACGAACATAAGAAAACATAGATATTCATCCTTCTGAAACCCAAATTGTGACATTATTTGCATTTGTGGCATCTAATTCACCTTGAGATTATTACTATTAAAAATATTTTAAGTAATCTGCTATGTATGGCAGAAGAAACTGAATTATGCCAAGGTGTGTAAATAAGTATTTTATGTACCAGTGTTCTATGGATAACAACCATAACTTGGAAGTCTTCTGTTTGTTAGTAGTTCTTCCTCTACTGTATGGATACAAATTAAAACATAGTAAGAAAAACTGTCATATAAAAAGGTAGAGCAGCTTCTGATGGTTTGACTTCTTGCAAGGGTGCATTTTTATGATCTATTTTATTTTATATACTATTTGATAATTGTATGCACTTTCTTTTCCTTTTTAAAAAACACAGGTATTAAGAGATTGAAAAATTCACTGGACAAAACTATTTCAGTTCCAAAAGAAATTACCAAAACTGAAAACATCTGCCTCCCTAAGCCCATGAAAACTGTAGAATTCTGATGCAACATGTGAAAGCATTCAAGCAGTGTTTGCTGCTTAAACTAGCATATCTCAACTGTCAGCTTCTAGTAAAATACCCAACTGGTACTTCATAGCATATATTTTATTTCTTTGTCCTTGTCATAGGGTGTTTTCCAATGTTATTGATGATGCCTTTCTTATAACTGTGCCAAACCTTTAAAGTGGAAAAGGGAAAAAGATCCCACCCACACACACACTACCTTATCAGCAATTTGAACTCATTTCTGGAGCTTTTCTATGACATTTAAAATTTTGTATTTAGTGAAATAGCTTCCTGATCTTGGATCAAAAGGCTGATTAGTAACTGCTGACTTTGACAGCAATACCCACTATATATCTCAGGTTAATTTACCTCAGTAAAAGGCTGTGCTTAGCTTTTCAGGAGTCTTGCATTACACTTTTTTCTTGTATTTCCACACCCCTATACATATGACATCCTTGCATGTTATAGTTGTGATAGCTGTGATGCAGTAGCTGAGAGAGCTAATACCTGTGCAATAGCTGTGAATAGCCTGTGTTTTGTTGAAGGAGGAAGGAGATAAAAACCAATTACCTTCCTTTCTGAGCTCCTCTTCTAAAACCTCAGTGTACTTTCATCTCTTGTAATTTAAACATTTGATGACATTGATTTTTATTTTATGTGCTTAGTTGCATTTATCTGTTTTATTAGTTCACATTATTTTGTCACTATTTCTTTGCACATAGGCATAAAATGAGTGGGTTAAAATCTCCACTAAGAGGAACCATATAGCTAGTTAGACAGCTGCTGATTTACACTGTATAATCAGATACTGTTCGTATTCTGAAAATGTGAGAGATATATGGGTCTAGCACACCTACGTAAGTAGGTTACATTTACTACAGCATTTTCCATATTTAACCTTTGTCATATTTAAGCTGTCTGAAGCAAGGTCCACAGAAACAAAGCCGCATTTTGTTGTGCAACAATACAGAGATAAAAGAGTTCAGGCTGTATTGGGCATACTCAGACATCCAATACTGCCCTGCCTAAGATCCAAGAGTGAAGCCAATCCAGAAAAGGAACCAAAGAAATTGGTATTTCCAAAGCTCCATTAGTGTCACCATGTGCAACAAGTTGCACATAAGTGCAGCCCACTGCTTACAGCAATCGTATGGAGGTTAGCAACTGGCTGCCTTTCTCTTCATCAGCCTGCTCACACATTACATTAGCTGTACAGAATCTGATTATTCAGGCAGGCTCAGAAGTAAATTTATCCATAATCTATTCTGTATGACTACAAGGACTCCAAAGAAGAGGCTACACAGAAACCATTTATAATGGAAAATTCTACAAATTAAAAAGAGAGAACTGTATTACTGTGCTTTGAATTAACAAATACTTTTATTCTAATCAATTTTGCTAAAATGGTGTGACTAAAGTATTAAAATTAATTTAACATTCTTGGCTCAGTTAATATTTTGTTAATTTAATGTAGAGTTTACATTTTTATAAAAGCATTTAAAAAATTTCAGCATTCGGCAGAATTAGTACTCGTTTTATGATAATATTGTTAATTTAATGCATGACTTGGAATTATACTTCAAAGTGAATCAGAAAAATATGCCTTTTCTATTGTTGTTGCAGGCATCTCTGTTCATGCACCAGTGAACTGACCTTAAATTTTAACATAGGCAGCACAAAATCGCTCTTGTATTTCAACAATTTTTTGCAATTCAATCATCTAGTCCATCAATTTCAGATAGATTTTGCAACAACCTACCCATGAAAGCTAAAACAATTTTTAACATTATCCTTTTATGTTTATTCTCTGGAAAGACCTGCACTGAATTCTGCTTCCTGCTATATATATACACACATATAAAATGTATTTAGTGAAAAATCAAATGGTTATGAAAAACCCAGCTAATGTACTGCTAGTGGCTTTTGGGTTTTGTTCTTGGCCAAGTTGGGTTTTTTTCTGCTATCCTATTGCACATTTATAAGTGTTAATTGAGTTTTTAATGATTTTAGTATGTAGTGGCCATAACTCCCATTACAGCTAATGAGAATCCTAGACATCTTTTTGTGTATGGAATACTGAAATCTATAACAGCAACCTGAAAAGCAAATTGAAAAGCTTTTAAAACTTTCTGTATAGTGAAATATTATAAAGGGAGAATAAAAGACTACCAGAGCTGATGACCAAAAGTTTTGCACGATGCTTTTCAGACTTCACTTTTTCATCTGCTAAGTTCTGTTTCCTCTTCTTTCACTGACATAGACACTGATTTTCTCAATGCTCAATTCCTTTCCATCCCTGAGCTCCACTGTCAACAGACCCCTGTCTTACACTAGCCCAACTTCTCTAACCTCATGTTCTCTTTCAGCTAACTTTAAAGTGCTCTTCCTTCTTACTGAAAGAAACACAGAAGTTACCCGGCTGCTGGCATAACCCTTCCACTTGCTTCATTCTGGCTGAGCTGATCTATTAAATCCTCTCTTGCATCTTTTCATCACTATTTTGCTTGCATTTCCTTCTTTTGCCTCAAAATGGAGGCATGGTTTAGGGTTCTGCACTCCTGTGAGAAAGAGAGAGAAAGAACTCCTTAACCTATTTGACTCCTAATCCCTGACCCAGTTCCTCACAGAAGTCTTCTGTTGCAAGTATTTGTTCCATTAATCACTGTGCATAACAAAGCTATCCTGACAATCACTCAGGCTCAAAACTTTCGCTTCATCTAATAAGTGCATTTCTTGTCCAGATTTCCCACATAAAGCTCTTATTCCACCTCAAATTTTGGTCTGGGAAGAGAAAGAGGTACTTGGTCATCTCAGACTTCCAGATGTCCAGCAGTCCTCATAGAGCAACGATTTGGACAGTCCTTCCAGAAGAACAGTTGGTGTGAGCAAGTATCAGCTGTGTGCTATGTGAAGAGTAAGTCTTCAATGTTAAGGCACAGTGGATCTATTTTTGCACACTGCACAGTTGGCCAGTCCTAGATAGAGACTTGCTATATATGCACAGATCCATGTTACAAAGGGGATTTCTCACATGGACGTATGTGTATCTTACCTTCAAATGAAACTGCTTTCACATCACCAGGCTATGTCTAAATTATAAAGAGTATGATATAATCTCACTCAAACATTTGTCTAAAGAGAAAAGCTATACGGGATTTTCAGGGCTTTCACACCAAAAAGCCTCTTGCATGGACTTTGTCATCTCATGTTTTGATCACTGAAACATCCTCTCCAGTCTTGACAAAAATCATTTACCCTGCTAGCACTTATGCAGAGCAGTGCTTCAGAAGTAAACTTTGCTGATCACTTAGATCACAGTAACCCTGGCTTTACTGCGTAGCCTCACTATGTCTTGCTTTAACACACAAAATTTTAAAAGTAGTTCATAATCCAGCCCCAGCCTGCCTATGTAGGCCTCATCAAAACATCCACTCCCTTCTCCCCAGCACCGGTCTCTCTTACCAGTTTGTTACATTTTCAAGCAAACAAATTTTGTGATTTCTGTACTTTTTTTTTTTTTTTTTGCACCTTCTGACACAGCAAAGATTATATTGTGACACTTAGCCCAAAACAACTCCTTAAAAATTCTTCTTCCAAGATACCTCCAAGGCGATAGGATAGCACTTTACACACTCTGTCAGTCCTGTCATGGCCTCCTTGTTTTCCCCTGTGTTTCTGTGGTACCTCTTTCAATGCAGTGAACAATTTCAGGTTCATATTTGCACACTAACTAACCATCAGTGTCTTAATGAAATTAAACAGCTGAGCTGGTAAGAATAAAATTGCATTCTCACTTGCTTTTTCTACTTATTTCAACAAATCAACACATATTCATCCTAGAAGAGGTTATAGAGAAGAAAGAACCTTCAGATGAAAAAAATTACCTCAGACAAATGCTATAATTACCACAGTAATTACGTATCTTTCTAAATATTAAGAATTTCTTGTACTAACCAAAGTACATACTAGGCGTAAGAAGGAGAGGGCAGCAGTGTGGAACATGTGTGGGAGAGGGCCATGAACTGCCCTGTGCTGGTCACAGCTGGTTCCAGCTGGCACCAACACCAGTTTGAGCAACCTGTGAGGCGCCAAAACTGCCACAGCAGCAAGCCTGAGGAGGCTGCAGCATCTTCATGTAGCATGTGTACAAAAGAAGCCCTCAGGGCCTGGAAACATTTGGAAAGACAGCTAGGAAAGTGTCATGCTAAAAGGGGTATGCTTCTGCACACCATGGTCTGCAAGTGGCCCACACAGGGGCAAGGACATTCCTGAGGGACTGTGGCCATGGGCGACCCAGGCTGAGGTGGGGGCACCCCTGAGGGACTGCAGCCCATGGGTGACCCACGCTGATGGACAGAGCAAAGAGCACCAGAGGAAAACCAGTAAGCAGCCAAGGGCAGCAGTAAGAAATTAATAAGCACGGAGCTGCTGACAGAAATCTACACAGGACTCCGACCGACCTCCTGCACCACCCAGTGCCTCACCCAGGAGAAGGGAGGGACCGAAAGCGGCAGCACAGGTAAGGGTTGCTGACAACAGGGGAGCTGGAGGACACAAACTGCACTGGGCAAGGGGGAGGAAAGGCTCAGTTGGGTGTTTCTTTGCTTTTCTCAACACACAAATCGGTGATCAGAAGTTTGGGTTAGTTGGCAATGAATTACGTAAGAATTCTGTGACTCCACGCTGGTTTACACACAGCTCAGTTAATTTTCAACTAAAGTTTAAATTGAAAAAAATTACATTTAGTTATTTTATACTTGGGGTTTTTTAAAGTATTTACACAGTATTTCTGCTGTATTACTTAAGCAAAATCATTACTTTGGATTCTGGCTACATACATTTTTACATTTTTTTTGGTTATAGATGAGCCCTTTGGTTTTCCCAAAGTAAAAACCTTCACTTACAAACACTTCTTTTTTTAGTCCCACATCATTCACAGTAACTGTCACAACTACTGATAAACACAGAGATTATACACCGAAAAATGGCTGGTTGAGTATCTTAATAATTACTTAGTTGAAACATTCTTTCAACTTACAAAAGTTATTTAGATTACAGTTAATCACAATTTTTTTGAAGGACAGTAAACCTTTTTTGATACAGTATGTAATTATGTCTTTCTACTACATGAGTTTCTGCTAATTATGCAATTATCATGCAGGAAGACTAATATGAAAGATATGCTGAACTAACAGCTCACTATCTGTTAAAAATACAGTAAATGTACATACGCTTCAGGCATATATACTTCATTCTCCATACAATCTCAATGATTTGCACTGGTGTCACTGGGATCATTTATTTTAGCACACAAATCACACTTCCCTTATAGCAAAATAACGCAAAAATACTTCCTTAACATTTAAGAGTTTAAAGACATTTTTAGTATTTAGGCATATGATAAAACTGCATATTTATAAAGTATTAGCAAAAGAATATCAGCAAAGGAGAATTTATAAACCCACCAATTCCTCTTCCCTCTCCCCCTCAAATCGTAGTTTTGATGTCAGTTTTGGACTTTTTAAAGCCATCTTTACCTACATGATTAATCCCTTTACTCTCAAATACTGAAAAACTATCCTCTTATCGTGGATTTAAAATATGTACCTGTAACTATAGAAAACTAACTACCATACACAAATAACAGGAACTACTGAAGATCTAATTTATCACTGTTAGAAAGCACCAGTAATACCTCTGCACGACTTATATCTACATACATTTCAGATTCATACTCAGGAAAGCATGAACAATGAGGAGCTGTTGGCTTTTTATCATGCCATACAAGCTTCAGCAAAAGCTAATATCTGGTTCTAGTAATTCTTACATATTAACCATTTTGCAATTTGCACTGTACTAAAGAAGCTGGGGGGGGGGGGAAGGTGTGTGAAAGAAGGTAAAAATATTTTCATTTAGGAATAGGAGGAAGACATCCCCCATAATTAAAATGAAGGTAATGTAGACAGTTCAGGCAAACTACAAAACAGATTACTATTCTTTGCAATTCCCAAGCTCAAGACAACCTGTTTAAGGGGTTTCAGATTGCAACTCCCGGTAAAACAGTTTGAAAACACTGTCACCTGAAGAAGTTTGCATTGGAAAAGTCTGTCCAGTTGATTCAGATGTCATCTGGTATCCATCACCTGCCTGCAACATTTTTCAAGTGTATTGTGTGATGTAACACGTGATAGATAGCAACAAATGATGGAAGAAAAAAAAAAAAAAAACGAGAAAAATCCTGAGAGACTCACAGCAATGATATTGAAGAAGTCATCATCTCCAAGGGTATCCAAAATAGATGAAACTGTCTGTTTTGCAATAGTCAATCGAAGCCCTTTCATGCTGCCACTGACATCTACTAAAATTACTACATCTTTTGGAGAAGTTGCTGCCTGGATGTACCTAAGACAAAAGACAAAACATCTTGTTCTTTTAAATACTGAACTTTTCTACCTTCGAAATTTCTTAAACCCTGGTAGTCATCTGTTGCCTACCATTTTCTATTTCGGCAGTCAAATGCAATGACTCCATTCTCATCAGGTTCCCATTTAATTCCTGTTTTAAAAAAAAAAAAAAAAAAAAACAAAGATAAAAAGATCAAATTACAACATTCTTACAGTACCTGTTCAAAATGTATCTGTGGTATAGGGGTGAAGTATCACTTAATGGAGTTTCATACTTTAATCTAACAGGCAATGGTGTTATAATGTAGGAAATGCTGGAAAAAATTAATAAAATAGAACCACCAGAAACGATATTTTTTTCCTCACTCCTTTCTAGGCTACTTTAATGTGAAAACCTCTTCAAGCCTACTATGTTCATCATATTACTGTCTCTATCTGAAAATTAGATCAAGTAAAATCAAACCTGCAAGTATCTCTGAAAGTCACAGTTTGTGACAATACTCAGTAGAAATTTGTAGCTGTAGCATTCTTGTATCTTAGGTAAGAACTTGTATTCTTCTTACCTGGATATTGTCTGAAAAATCCTTTTGCACTTCCAAAGTACTGCCAGATGAGAGAAGGGTCACGATCAAAATTATCAACAAACACCTTATTTAAAGATTCTGACCAATAAACTCCATTTACAATGGCTGGATCTGGGGGAGAAGAAAAATAAAAACAGAGAAAAGTGATTTTCCCTAAATAGAATCCCTTGAACTCTATAATCTTCAGTTTATTCAGTACTCAAAAAATCTAGTGACTGCAAATTACTGCAGAACATCTTTTCATTTCCTTTGTCAATTAAATGATTCAAAATAAATTATACATTTAAATAATGAAAGTATGGTTAAAATACAGAATAGACACCAGGTACATTTTTTACATAAGTTAAAATTGCTCATTAGACTATCTATCTGGAACTACCATACCACTTTTTCTGGAGAACATAAATGAGTCTAAATAATAAATGTCAAATAATCTAATAATAGATTATTTATTCAATTTACTTTCCCTAAATGCATGGAATGTCTCATGGCAACACTTTATAGATTTTTTTTTTTAATCTTTAACTTGGTAAGTCCATTCTTATCTGAAAGTTTATGAGTGGGAACAGAAAGTAAAATACTTTTTATTTCACACTTGAATGAATTATGGTATACATACAAAACCAAAATCTCACGACAAACAACACTAATTGTATTTAGAAACTACTGGACCCAGATTTCACAACAATTAACTCATTATTTTTGATTCCTATAGAAAGAGAAATACAAATCTTTAACATTGAAAAGAAACTATTTCTGTTTAAAACAGCCCCATCTATCAATTCCTAAAAACCTAAGGTGCCCAAGTATGTTTTTAAGCTGCAGATTTGATTAGATAGTGGGAAATCAGAAACAGAGTAACATATCTTATAAAGTGACTCAAATTCAAACTGTGATTTTTGAAAGATGAGAAACAATTAAGATATACTATATTCCCAATTCAATCTGTATGTGAAGTCAGCAGTATAGAAAGAAAAAAACGGAACTAAAATCACAGATGGATTATTTAATTTCTAAATGTGTGCATACATGAATACACAGTAACATTTGCTCAAGCATTTGAAATAATGCTTCCATTAGCTTGCAAAATAAAGTCACTGACTGATTTCAGAAGACTGCTTAGAATGTGATTTTAATGGAGTGGGAAAAAAGGTGAATTGTTATCTGTCCGTACATTCATCAGGAAAAACAGCAGAAGAAGGGAAATGTCTCAGCTACCAATCTTTGAATGTTGCTTTCATCTAAATATTTAGGTTTACATAGGTATACTGCTGAAAAAACAAGGTCAACAAAACAGATGTTGTTTTTAAAACACCTCTAGTATAGTTACTTGTTTCTCTAGAAGATGAAATATACATTTAAAATCTGTCCAACCAGACACATATCAAACAAACCAATGTCACTAGTCCAACAGTTCTGCTTCAGTTTTGCCTAGCTGGCAAAATCCATTGTCCAGTTGTTTCCAAGCCTGCAGTTAATCACAGTTTGTTATTGGGGTAAGGCATCACTAATTAACTGTCTGGGCACTAATTAACTGCCTGTCCTGGGATCTATCATCAGTTTGTAAAAATATGCTCCTATTTCAGCACCCCAAAATTTTGATCCATTGTTCAGCATTTAGGCATTACATGAGAAGTGAAGCACTAAATGAGAATCCTATTCTCAGTCCACTGGAGCTTCCCAGTACTGGTTCAAATACTGTTATTCTGGTTCTGCTCCTATACATAAGTCCTGGTGCAATATGTGAATCGCTGAAAAGCACAGTGGCATTATTGACCCAGCATTACAATATTGAGACAAGGTGATAAGTCATCTCTGACAAGAACACTTCTTGGCAGTGTTGCTAGAAAAGCCTGTTTAGAGGAGAAACAAGGAACCTTTCCTCAGCCTCTAGAGAACAGTAAGTTCTTCGTATACACTTCAGGCAACAGGATTAGTGAAAAGCCAAACTAAACAGAATAATTCTATCTTAATTTATATTTAAAATAAACTGTAGTGGTTCTTAGCAACTCACATTTGGATCTTATTCCAAGACTGCACATTGTACCTTAGTATTTTACAATAACATCAGTTCATCAGAAGTTTTCTATTCCAGATTCCTCAGAGACTAATTTTTAATGCCCTTTCCTAATGAATCTGTGCTATAGTGCCACTCATCTAAGCAGAGCCTTCACTCTGCCTCCCAACCTAATAATAATTTCCTTTAAATTCTATATACACTCCAGCTCCATAAGGTCACAGGCCAACTTTAGTTGTCCACCTATTAAGCTCTAAATTGAACATGAAATCCTTCCAGAGATATTTCAAAAATATATTTATATTAAAAAATACATATATAAAGCTACATATGTTTTTATATAATAAATTTCATATTAAAATATCCATGCCACTACAGTAGAGGATTACTTTTTTTAGCCCATTTATGAAGAGCCACTTAACATGTTTATATATCTGTGCTACAGATTAGAGAACTCCATGGAAATACAATCAGGAATTTTTCCTTGAGCATGGTTGGTTGACTCTATATTCTTCATTAGGTTGACAACACTAATCATCCAAATGCTGATCACCATAAGCATTAATCCAGTGACTCTGAAACTAATAGGAATTTTTTAGCTGAAAAGAGCATTAAGCAGGCATTTTAAATAACAGGGCACAACTAAAATTTGATCTATGATGACTGAGTTCCTTTCAAAATGAAACCCGGTGACAATTCACTACCTTCCTGTGCTGGCTGTTCTTTTTGCAATATGTTTTATGCATCTACCATTTTTATTAAAAAAGCAAAAAAAGGTCACACTCAGTTTAATCCTTAGAATACAAAGAAAAGCCAAGTGGGGGGGGGGGGGGGACAG